CAGTGCTGATTGTTGACTTCCAGTAACATTTGTGATGCAGAAAGTTACACGTGAAAGGTCTACATGGTAGATTTGGCTGTGAGTCTTAACTGAACAAGGGCCTTAGCGTGGCCTTATGCTGAAGTTTTGTGGTGATTGCCAGTGTAGTCTTTTTCTAAATAAGAGGTACACAGATACGAAGTCTTAACCTCTTGAGCTAGTTAAAAGTTCTTGAACATCTGTCATCATCAGAAGGATGTTAATCCTATTAATGAGAGTTCTGGATGAATTCCAAGTAGTTAATTGCACTGTGTGCAGTGTGTTTTTTCTGATTAATGAAATGTTGGATTGTATTCTTTGTTTCCACTGTCACTGTGTTCTTTTACTAGCTAATTCCATGAGATAATCCAGAACGGACTTCACTTGAAACAGACAAGTGTTTGCAAAAAGCAAAATTTGATCAAAATATAAAATTTATTTTTGCCTAGAATTGGTAGTACTGGTAGGGATATAAGGATTTGCAACACGTGGAGCTATGTTGGAGATGAAAGTTACCAGTAGTGAACTATTATATAAAGGGTTGCATGAAGGCTGACATTTTGTTGTAAATAAACAATTTCTCATTTTTATTAAAAAAAAAAAAGAAAAAGAAAAAGATTAGGCTTCATTTTGTGCTAATTGACATAGGACTTATTTCCTAACTGTTGGCATCTTAAACTGTGAAATCTTCCTTTTCTCTTTTGTTAGTGGAGTCAATCTCATGTTTGAGTGTGATTTGACCCCTGAATATGTCTGAAATGAGATTAAAAAAGAAAGAAAAAAAATCTGATTCACTCTGGGCAGTGACTTTTTGCAATGGTTGAATTTAAATTTCTGTCATAGTTTTTCTAGCTTGATTTCTCTGTCGCCAGTGCATGCTCTCTCTATGCTTGCATCCATCGTTTACTTCTTGATAAACAGCTGTCACTGTTGAAAGGATTGTCTAGGCTTTTTATTTTTTTGCTAATTTGCTAGAGGTGCTGTCCAAATTGACATGAGAATTAATGCTTAGGCTGCAAACAAGTCTGATGTAGTAGCATGCTTCCCAGCAACGTGGATTTAACTTCAAGGGTTTCCTTATTTCATAAGCAATCAAAAAATCTATTACTCTGCTGTGGCCTTAATTAGTACCATTTTTAGTGTCAGTCAAATCATCTTTTTGGAAATCTTTCTATTTGACCTGCTGAATTTAGGTTAAAAATGCATAAATTTTAATGTATAAATTCATTTGAAGATCAGGGAGTCTGTAATTTACTAAATAGGAGGAGGTGTATTAGCAAAATCCTCTCCTTTGGAACAAAACCTAAGCAGATACTTACAAGTGTGGGAATAAGGGATTCCCATTGGTTGTATTTACCAATGGGAAAACAGGAAATCTTCAGCTCTGAATTTCTGGAGGCTTTGTAAGACTGCTGTATTTTTTTCCATGAACATGTAGATGTTTTACAAAGATGATGGTCTAAGAAGGAAAACAAGGACTGTATGTAAATTAATCACTACAGAATTTGTCTGTGATAAAAGAGGATTTTTAAGCTTTCTACTGATACACTAGCATGGTTAACATCAATTGCTATTTATAATTTAATTGTGAATACGTTGAACCTGTGAATAAAGTGACATGAACTGTTATTCAAAGAATCACAGAATCGTAGGGGTTGGAAGGGTCCTGTGGAGATCATCTAGTCCAACCTCCCTGCTAAAGCATATTCCCTACATTAGGCTGTGCAGGAAAGTTCTGAGCCTCTCCAAGGGAAGCTCAACATGTCTGGGCAGTCTCTTCCAGTGGTTTATCACCCTCAAAGTTTTTCACTTTGGGTTTATCACCCAAAGATGGAGCATCACGTGTTCTAGTTTGTGCCCATTGCCCCTTGTCCTGTTGCTGGGCACCACTGAAAAGAGCCTGGCCCCATCCTCTTGACAGTTGAGGAATAAAAAAATAACAAAACTCACCAAAGATGCTTCTGTTCTTTTTTTTTAATGGATACAGATCTGCAGATAATCAATGTCTTGCTTTGAGCTACAGACGTTCTGATAGCTTGCTAGTTTCCTCTAGTTCCCCTTTATTTCTGAACTGACACCTGTGGGATTATTTAAAGTGTTATCTTACTGACGTTTATAAAAAAGAAAGTGATGTTTTAGTGGGCTGGGAAATTGTGCAAATGGCTCTTTCTTTTCTGCTATGGTTTTCTCCCATTCCCTGTGGTAAACTAAGAATATTCTGCCATTCTTGGGGCGTTTGTTGTGTTCTCTTATAATTTCTTTACATTTCTGTATGTTTTGGCAGGGGAAAGTCTTCTAGAACTATTAGTTTTGAACAATTTAAAGAAGCTCTTCAGGAACTCTCCAAGAAGCGATTTAAAGAAAAAAGTGATGAAGAAGCAATTCAAGAAATATATAAACTAATTGAAGGAAAAGCGCCAATTATATCTGGAGTAACGGTATGTTACTGTTCTAATGATGGATTATTTTAGCTGTATTTTGTTCTACCCTAGCTTTACACTCACCTGCTTCCCTCTGCAGTCCAAATCCAAGTCAGTGTGTCTCTGAGCCTGGAGGCAACAGCTGTACTGAGCAGAGTGAAAACAGAGATTATGTAGTGCGTGATTATTGTGCTGTGGTGTGTATTGCACTGTCATTGCTTCTGCTGGGAATTGTAGTACCACGTGGTAATCAGAAAAAATCAAGGAGAGCTCTAGTCTGGTTGAAACACAAACTTTTATGAAGAGTGCTGTATCCAAATAAAAAAGTAAATTCAGAACCTCGTTAAACAGTTCTATGTTGATGGTAGTTGATGGTGAAATACCAAGAATAATTAAGTAAAAACAAACAAACAAACAACCTTAAAATCAACGGTGTAAATTCCAGAATACCAGAAATCTAGAAATAATTATCATTTGGTCTAGTCTTTGGTTTCTTTGCTCTCTGTTTGTTGTCTTTTTCTTTTTGGTATGTAAACTTTGATAAGTCTACTAACATTAATAAAATAACTTTTAAACCTGATGGACATAAGGTTGGTTATCCTTCTAAATGTTCAGCTTGGACAAGCTTTTACTTTGTAGTTAATTCAGTATATACTAGATTGTTCATTATGATCTTGAATAGTCCTTTCAGTCTAATTCATCTGCTTAAAGTTAGTAGTCTCCCTGAGTTTAGTCAGCAAATAATCTTTCCTGAAACTTGTTTTGCACAAATGAGCAGTGAAAATGTCAAGTGGAGAAATCTCTTTTGAGTTGTATAGTTTGTTAGGTTCTACAGGATTTCATCTTATTGCTCTTGTGCTCCATTTGAAATAAGGGGTAGTTTTGATACTTAGTGATGGGCCTTCTTTTTGTCCTTGAGTCATTTTAATTCATCAGAATAACTTGTTTTTCTTTCAAGGGGTTCTCCCTCTGAATCGTGCATATTTATTTCCTCTGAATTGTGAGGCCTAAGTGAATATGCACTTCTGACTCCTTTGTTTTCTGCATTTCAGCACTTAGGTACTGAAATGAGCAATGGCTGCTATCATGGGAACAGTTTCTTCCTAAGTGAATGGTAGGGTGATTTGAGAACTTACAGAGTGGTAGTATGTGGGTGCTGCAGATGTATGCGAATTGACAGTAGCACAGGGAAAGTGATCTAGAGCTTGATTAAAAAAAACATTGTAGAATCATTTGGGTTCGAAAATACCTTCAAGATCAAATCCAGCCATCATTCTGACCTGCAGAGTCCTATTATTAAACCACGTTCACACACAAATTCATAGAATGGTTTAGGCTGGAAAGGACTTTTAAGATCATCTAGTTCCAACCTCCCCTACTATAGGCAGGGACATTTCCCCCAAGACTGGATTGCTCAAAGCTCCACCCAGGATGGCCTTGAGCACCTTCACAGTGGGGACATCCACAGGATCTCTGGGCAACCTGTCCCAGTGTCTCACCACTCACAGTAAAGAATTTCTTCTTAATATCTAGTCTAAATATACCCTCATCCAGTTGAAAGCCATTTCTCCTTGTCTGTTGCAACATGCCCTTACAGAAGGTTTCTCTCTGACTTTCCTGTAGCCCCCTTCAGGTACTAGAAGGTTGTTTGTAAGGTCCCCCTGGCACCTTCTTTTGTCCAGGCTTAGGACCACCAATTCTCTCACCCTGTCTCTGTAGGGGAACTGCTCCAGTCCTCTGATCATCTTTGTAGCCCTCCTCTAGACCCACTCCAACAGCTTGATGTCTTGTGGACCCCAGAACTGGACCCAGTACTCCAGATAGGGTCTCATGAGAGGAGAGTAGAGGGACAGAATCACCTCCCCTAACCTCTTGGTCATACTTCTTTTAGTGCAACCCAGGATGCAGTTAGACTTCTGGGCTGCATATGCACGTTGCCGGCTCATGTTGAATCTTTCATCAACTAACACCCCCAAATCTTTCTCCTCAGGGTTGCTTTCAAGTCGTTCTCCACCCAGTGCATATTTGTGCTTGGGATTGCTCTAACTCAGGTGCAGGACCTTGCACTTGTTCTTGTTGAACTTCATGAGGTTGGCATGGTCCCACCTCTCAAGTCTGTTCACATTCTTCTGGATGGCATCCCTTCCCTCTAAGGAGTCAACCGCATCACTCAGCTTGATGTGATCAGCAAACTTACTGAGGGTGTACATGATCCCTATGTCTATGTTGCCAATAAAGGTATTAAATAGCACTGCTCTCAGCACTAATCCCTGAAGAACGCCACTCATCACTGGTCTCCATTTGGACAGTGAGCCACTAAGGCAAGTGGAGAGAGACTGTAAAGATGACAAAGGCTTGTGACTTCTTAGAATCTTGGGGATTTGCTGCACCTCTGGATTTCCAGTTTCAGAAGTTATAATGCCCTGAACAGTGGTGAGGGTGAACAAGACCTGCCAGTGTCTGCTGATCCTGAATTTAATGCTTGCAAAAAGGTAAAAAGACCTATTTGCAGGCAGTGGAAATGCATCTATTGAGGAGAGTGTTAAACTGCAGAGTTACCATAACCTGAAGAAGCAAAGCCATAAGAGTCAGAACAGGTGTGCCTAAGTGACCAGCTTGACAGAGGATGGTCTCACTGTTCTGTAAATGAAGCAGAACTTGTGACATGTCTCAAATACCTGTGCATGAAAGCACCTAGCATGGAGAGCAAGCAGGACAAATTATAAGTTTGCACAGTTGCAGAACTATGATGCCATTGGAGTTCTGGAAGCATAGTGGAAAGCTATTCTGACTAGTATGTTATGAAGGACGAATGGAGGATCTTCAGAAAAGATGGTGGGGAAAAAGAGGAAGAGGACTTGTGCTCAATATGAAGCCATAGTCTGACTGCATGGGATTCTGGTTTAGGTCAGATGACAAATGAGTAGAGTGCTCGTGTGTGAAGAAAACAGACCAACACAGGTGATGTTGTAGTAAGCATGAACTACAGACCTACTGATCAAGCAGAGGAGAAGGATAAAGCCTTCTTTAGGCAGCTGCAGAAAACCTCACACTGCTAGGCCTTGGCACTTGAAGTCGGTATCAGCCATGCCAAAATGTCTGGGAGTAGGCAATCTAAAAGACTTATTCTAGAATGGAAAAAAAAAAAATTGAGACAGTGATCAACAATTTGCAGAGATGCTCAGTTGAATATGCAGTACACAACCAAAAGGAAGAATTAGTTAATAACATGGAATTATAAAATGTCTTAGATTGGGAGGGACCTCAAAGATCATCTAGTTCCAAAACCTCTTGCATTGGACAGTTACTACCCACTTGATCATATTGCCTAGGAAGCAGATGAACCTGTCTTTGAACAAGACATTTGTGTTGTGGCATGTACAGCTTTGCTGAGCAGTGTGTTCCAGTGCCTTACAGGTCTCTAAGTAGAGAACTTCCTCCTAGTATCTAGTATAAATGTTCCCTCTTTTAGTTTAAAACCACTTGCTCTTGTCCTATTACTGTAAGACCATGTAAAAAGTCAGTCTCCCTCCTTACTCCCTAAGTATTAGAAGGCTGCAATGAGGTCTTCCCTAGAGCCTTCTCTTCCTCAGCTGCCTTAACCCTTGTTCACTGGAGCTCCACTGCTCTGGTCATCTTTGTGGCCCTCCTCTGGTCCCACTCCACCAGCTCCACATCTTGTGCTGGAGGCCCCAACAATGGGTGTGGTATTCCAGATGGACTTTCACAATTTCCTCCCTTGCCCTGTTGACCCTCCTCTTTTGCTGCAGTCCAGGATACAGTGGGCCTTCTGGCCTGTGCCTGCACACTGCTGGTTTATGTTCATCAGAAACTCCAAGCCCTTCTCTGTAGGGTTGCTCCCAATGACTTCTCCTGATCTGGATACATGTCTGGGGTTGTCCCAGCTCAGGTGCAGCACCTGTCACTTGACCTTGTTGAACCTCATTCAGTTCACGTGGGACCACTTTTTAAGCTTGTCCAGGTCCCATTGGGTTGCATCTCTTCTTTCTTTTGTGGCAATTGCATCACTTATCTTGGTGTCATCAGCAAGCCTACTGAAAGTGTGCCCGATCCTATTACCTCTGTTTTTGATAAAGATGTTGAAAAGCCTTGCTCCCAAGATGGACTCCTGACGGACATGATTTGTCACTTGCCTCCACCTCAACATAGGTTTGTTGACCACAACTCTCTGGCTGCAACTGTCAAACCATTTCTATATGGATGAATGTGGACATTGTGACTGAGCTCACACACAGAAAGGAAGTGTACAGAAGGTGGAAGGAGGGAAAGGCTATGTGGTATGAGTATGGATTATGCACTGGGAACATGATTGGGTAGGCCCAAGTTCAGCTGGAGCTGAGGCTGGAAAGAGTGCTGAAGGGCAAATAAGAAGTTTCTGTTAAGTGTGTTATTAGCGAAAGTAAGTGCATGTGGTGGTTGGTGGGGATGGGGATCTAGTGACAAGGGACTTGGAAAAGATGGAGATGCTCAATGCTTTTTTTTTTGTCTCAGTTTTGACTGGTAGGGCCTAACCTTTGGGGTTCTTAGGACCCTGGCCTGAAATAGTAACCACAGTAGAAGAAGATGGAATTAGGAATCAGTTCAGCAATTAGACACGTGTAAGTCTGTAGGACAAGATGGGTTACATTCAGGAGTGCTGGAGGAGCTGGCCAGTGTTGTTACAAAGCTGCTGTCCGTTGTCTTCAGAAGGCCATGGCAATTGGAGAGGTTTATAATAACTGGGAAAAGGCAAATATCACACACATCCTTAGAGAGGGCTAGCAGGTTACTATATCCAAGTACCTACAGGCCCAAAACCATAACCTTAGTCCCTGTGGAGGCTGTGAAGCAAGTTATCTCAAAAGCACTTTCTAAACATGCAAAGGGCAAGGAAAGGATTTGGAGCAGCCAGTGCAACAAGGCCGTTCTTTCTAAAGGCAAAGAAGTGACGGATCAAATAAGCACTGTGGACGGGGAGTATAGTATACTTTGATGTCAGTAAGAGCTTAGAACCAGCT